GCAGAAGCACATGCTGACCGAGGATATCGACAGCTCGATGCGCGCCATTATCTCGGGTGCCCGCATCGAGTACGACCTCAAGGTGCTCTCGTACGAACTGGCTCCCGAAACCGCGCCTGCCCTCACAAAGCAGCGCATGCGATGGGCGCAAGGCTGGACGCAGGTCGCTTTCCGCCACGCCCTCCCCGCCGTTCGCCGAGGTGCCTACTCGGACGACAACGGTTGGCGCTCCCGCCTGGGTCTCTTCCAGCTCCTCGTCTACCGCGAGGCGTACTTCTACATCAACACCCAGCTTCTCTTCATCCTCCTCAGCTCGCTCGTCCTCGCCTTCCCGCACGAAGGCCTCAAGGCCTGGTTCACCAACTTTGGCGGCTTTGCAATCGCCATGTGGGCCCTCGGCATCAACCTCATCTGCCTCTTCGTCACCATCTGCATCACACTCAAGAACCGCTCCAACTTCACCCACCCGCTCGGCATCATCGCCTTCGGACTCTTGGCGCCCTTCTACTACAGCATCGTCAGCTTCATGTCCATCTTCTGCCACTTCCGCGAGTTCATCAAGTTCGAAAAGTGGAACCCCACCGCAAGATCCAACAAGAAGTAAGCCTTCTTGAGGCTTATCTAGAACAGTTCGTCCTCTGTACAGTGCTCCTATTCCCGTTTTCGTTAGTAATCTGCATTCGCCTCGTCTCGGAAGAAGCGGGCTCCGTGTGAGGCGAGTGCTGGCGTGAGCAGGCAAAGCTTGATCTCATCTTGATGGCCCGACTGAAGCCGAGCCCTCCTCGGTGGCTTAACAATTTGAATCCAAGAAGGATCGGCTACCGATGCTGCGTCAAAGCCGATTTTAGCGATCTCGGGCGAGCTTCATTTTCGGGGGGGTTATTTTTTTCGATTTCTTTTTTTAGGACACTTTTTTTCTAAAGGCAAGGGGAAAGGAAACGGGAGCTGGTGGGACTTTGAGAACGGAAAGAAGCGGGGGACACTAGGGGAAGCTGAAAGATGGCGGAAGCCTTCCTGTCAGCAATTGAACTATGGCGGCTACGTTGAGGCGGCCGCTCAGAAGCGCTCTTCACTTCTGCTGAAGGTCAGCGCGTTGAGTTAGAGCCAGATGCGGTTGAAGCGGAGGTAGACGACCTTTGCCACCTGGACGATGAGTACGTATGCCACGAGGTAAGGGAAGAGGAAAGCATAGAACATGGGGTCTGGCAGTGTCATCTGCAGGGCGTTTCGGAGGAACGGCAGGTACGGTGCGACCATGGAGATGACGGCGATGAGAGCGGTGGTGAGGCATACCTGCCAGCTAGCGCGGCTCTGGACAAAGGGAAACTTGGCGGTGCGCAGCACGTGAACGATAGCCACCTGGGTCAAACAACCCTCGAGGAACCAGTGCGTCTGAAACCTAGCCACCTGTTCAGCATCGTTGGCGTTGCGTAGACCAAAGTAGAACCAGTTGACGACGAACGTGAGAATGTCAAACGGCGACGAAAGCGGGCCGATGCACAGCATGAACTTGAGCATGCTCTTGGTGGACCAGCTCACCGGAGCCCGGATCATGTCTTCGTCCACATTGTCCCACGGAATCGAGGCTTGCGAAATGTCGTATAGCAGATTCTGCGTCAGCAGCTGCGTCGGGCTCATCGGCAGGAAGGGCAGCCACGATGCGGCAACAGTGACGGAAAAGACATTGCCAAAGTTGGACGAGGCTGCCATCTTGATGTACTTGAGCGTGTTGACGAACGACACACGTCCGACGATCACCGCATCGCGGATCACATCCAGATTCTTCTGCGTCAGAATGACATCGGCTGCATCCTTGGCGATATCGCATCCGGTGTTGACCGAGATACCGCAGCTGGCCCCGCGCAGGGCCGGACCGTCGTTGACGCCATCGCCGAGAAAAGCAACCTGGTGACACTGGGCCCGAAGTGCACGCACCACCTCGAGCTTCTGAATCGGGGTCAGCTTGGCGAACACCACCTTCTGCTCCACGGCACGCGCAAATGCAACCGGCCCCAGCTGCGACAGCTCAATACCCGTGATGCAGAGCTCGCTTGCACCAGGGGTCTCGGGGAGCAGGTTGATGATCTCGCACACCCTCCGAGCCGTGGGAAGTGCATCGCCGGTGAGCACCTTGGTCTGCACGCCCAGCTCGCGCAGTTGTGCGATTGCATTCTTCGCATCGGCCTTTGGCGGGTCCAGGATCGATACAAACCCCTCCAGAACCATCTCGGCTTCCAGTTCGGGCGTCGCAACACCGTTGATCAGCAGCGAGCGGGCGACGCGTCGCGACGCAACCGCAATCACGCGCTCGCCGCGCTCGGCGATGGCATCAATGCGAGCCGTGCATGCATCCACGTCGATCTTGTCCAGTGACGAGGCGGAAAGACGAACGTGGGTGCATCGACGAACCACCTCTTCGGCAGCACCCTTGCACACCAGGTGCAGCTTGTCCGCATCGCCCTGTTCGTCACTGTACACCACCGACACAACGCGGCGGTAGAAGTCAAAGGGGATATCGGCCACCTTGGTCTTGCCCTCCAGCAGCCGAGTCGAAAGGGCCTGGTCTCCAACGTGCGACAGGATGGCATTGTCGATGTTGTTGATAAACTCGGACGTCTGCAGCTTGGCGTTGAGGTAGGCGAGGTGTACCGGCGTGTCGCAAATCTTGCCGTCCGGAGCGCAGGTCGAGGCGACGGTAACATGGTCCTCGGTGAGGGTGCCGGTCTTGTCGCTGCACAGCACGTCGATGGCACCCAGCAGCTGTACCGCATCTAGCTTCTTGACAATGGCCTTTTTCTTTGCAACGATGATGGCGCCACGAGCGAGGTTGGCGGTAGTGACCATGGGCAGCATCTCTGGAACGAGCCCAACGGCGACGGAAAGGCAGAAGAGGGCGGCGTTTTTCCAGTCCTTGGTGACAAAGCCGTCGATGATGAGCACGGTGGGAGCCATGACCAACATGAAAGCCAGCAGAAGCATCGAGATGTGCGAAATGCCGCGTTGGAAGTCGTTCTGCACCTGCAAGTCGTCAGAGACACAGGCGACGGTGCCGACGTAGGTGCGGTCGCCCGTGGCAACGACGAGTGCATCCGCATGACCAGACACCACATGGGTGCCCATAAAGAGAAGATTGGGTCGATCCATGGTGGCCGAAGTGCCCTTGGCCGAGCAAGGCACTTCCGCACCGGGTGGACAGTCAAACGAGTTGGCAGAGGAGAGGTTGGTGGCAGAAGAGGTGCCCAGTGCATACTTTTCCACCGGCAGGCCTTCGCCGGTCAAGGAGCTCTGGGAGACAGTGAGCATCTTGGAGGCAATGACGATGCAGTCTGCAGGGACGACCGAGCCGGTGGCCACGCGGATCACATCGCCAACAACGAGCTGGGATCGATCGATCTTGACGGGCTTCTGCTCGTCGTCCGAATTTCTGCCAAGAACCAGGCAGGAGCTGTCGATAAGCGACTTGAGCGCATACACCTTGTTGGCGGACTTGTGTTCCTGGATGAAGCGGAGCGAGACGCTGAGCACGACCATGAGCATGAGGATGGCGAAGGTGGAGTGGTCATCGGTGGAGATGGCGACTACAGCGAGGATGGTGAGGATGGCGTTGAAGGGGTTGACGATGTTGCTGATGAGGAGTTTCCACCAGGGCTGCTTCTGAGAGCTGGCGACCTGGTTGGGGCCGTCGAGCTTGAGCCTGCTGGCAGCGGCTTTGGCATGGATACCTCGGGGAGAGCTGGCGAGCTGGGCGAATGACTCGTCCAAGGGCCGGATCGACCAGTGGGCAAGGGTGGTCAGGACTGCCTCTTCCTTGGCGAGAGCAGCTGCCTTTTTAGTGTGGTCAAGCGCGGTCCTCATGCCAAGAAGACGAGCGAAAGGCGAGCTGGCAAGCGCCTGCTTGACGCGCACAAAGCGGGAAGACTTTGCCTGCACCAGGACCGAGAGCTCGGGGTCGGCATGACGAGGAAAGTCTCCACCATTATCAGCCTCGATCGAAGGAGAGCTGATCTTAATGTCCGACTTGCGCACGTCCTCCACGACAGCCTGGTCGCTGTGACCGTGGAGCGGAAGCACGGCGATCTCTGTAGCGCCGTCGTTGATCATACTGATGTCGACGGAAGGGTAAGATCCAAAAGAAGATTAAGCAAGGGGAACGTTGGAATCGACCTGGCTGTTTGCTTGAGGGTCGGTTTTAGCCAGGATCCAGTTGGATTCAAGGCTGGTGTAGCGTGGGGGATACGAAGGGGTTGGCAGAGATGGAGAAGGCGCGGGCAAGGAGCTGGGTGTTGACCATAGTTGTGCGAGGGGTGGTACGGGGTGCAAACATGTATCGTAAGAGAGGTCAGCAGAAGCGAGGATGCTGAGAAGGATGCGTGGATGATAGAGGATAGCAGAGTCAGGAAGACTTTGTTTGGTGAGAGCGAGGGGGGCAGGTGGGGTCGTCAAAGTGAGCCTCTTATATGAAACCTTTCTGTGGTGCAAGATGAGGCTGAGGAGCAGAACTTTTCTTTTTGGATTGGGTTGCCCCACTCGAGGTGATCGCGTCCCCTGCATTCATGCAGGGCGAGAAGCCCACTGATATGCAGGGCAGTTCGCAGGGCTGTTCGGAGCGAGTGGCTTGGCACGATCAAGGCGTCGTGAGCGGAGCTTAACTGTCCGCAAAGCGGCGGAGAAGCAACGGATCGGAGGGGTCTCATTCTGCCTGCGGAGGTTTGGGTGCGCAGGAATCGAAGCACGCGAGAAGCGGTACGAGGGGAGCCGAGCAGGCGCATGGCAAAGGAGTCAACTCTGAGAGGGCCAGGGCGAGATGTCGAGAAGCGCAGCGAGGCGCAGCAGCAAAGAGGCGAAACGAGCGGAGTCACAAAAAGCGGCTTGACAGGCCCTTCAGGCTTCGGCTTCGGCATGGACGGCTGCGAGAAAAAAAGGGCACCACAGACTGCGCCTTGGACTGAAACTCGGCCGCTCAATGTGGGCCAAGGGTAACTCTGAACCGCACGGCGCGGGCACGGCACGGCACTGAGCCTAACCTATCGATCCGCTTCAGCAATTCCACGACATGTCGCCGCCCTGTGCGTTGTGCACAACCACATTGGTGGGCGCGCAAAGCATGGAGGGGCAGAGGGCAACTGCGCAGCGCTGTCAACTTGTGCACTCGACTTGCCGAGGAGCGTTTGTTGGCCTCCTCTCAAGCACCTCTGCCGTGCAATTCAGCCATTCAGCCTCTGCCGTGTCATTCGGAGCGAGGGCGCTCGCCCGGCCAGATCCAGCAGGAGCAGATCGGCAATTTGAAGCAAGGATCGTAAAGCATCGGTGATTTAGGATTGCCCCAACCATGTTAAGGCGGAGATGCGACCGAAACAGGGGTGCGCGCTCCCTGAAATTGACACCGAAAATTGCAACCCATATTGGGGGCAGCAGCCAAGGATGGAGAAGTGGCGCGTGTGTTGCGTGTTGTTCTCCACACCAAAACAAGCAGAGCGGCTGCCTGGCTGCTGCTGCTGCTACTGCACGCGCATCTGACTTTGGACGCCCCTGAGGCCAAGCTCACTCTCGGACACCATCTCCATAACCTTGCCCTTGCGCTCCACTAGCGACCCACACACGACCTTGAGGAACGCTTCTCACCACGCACTCGCCTCCGCCATGTCATCCTTCTTTGGACTGTCCAAGACGCGCACGTTCAAGCCGAAGCGCAACATCCCCGAGGGCACCAAGCAGTACCAGCTCAAGCGGTATGCCGAGGCTACGCTGGGGAGCGGCAATTTGCGACTGGCGGTGGTGCTGCCCGAGGGCGAGGATCTGAACGAGTGGCTCGCCGTCAACACGGTCGACTTTTTCAACCACATCAACATGCTCTACGGCACCATCACCGAGTTCTGCACGCCGTCGGAATGTCCGGTCATGTGTGCAGGCTCGCGCTTCGAGTACCACTGGCAGGACGCCAATTCGGCGCTCTACCGACGCCCCACCAAGATGTCTGCGCCCGAGTACGTCGACTGCCTCATGAACTGGGTGCAGTCGCAGCTCGACGACGAGTCGCTCTTCCCCAGCAAACTGGGCGTCGCCTTTCCCAACAACTTTGCCGCGGTGGTCAAGTCGATCCTACGACGCCTCTTCCGCGTGTATGCGCACATCTACAACCACCACTTTGCCCAGGTGTGTGCACTGAGCATCGAGGCCCACCTCAACACCTCCTACCGCCACTTTTTGCTCTTCATCACCGAGTTCCACCTCGTAGAGCCACGAGAACTCGCCCCGCTCGTCGAACTCAACGACGCCATCCTCGGCGAGGCGTGATGCTGTTTTACCCCCACTTTCCCGTTGTCTCTCTTCGTAATACCTGCAAGCTATACCCTCCCACACCTCGTGCTCTTGTGACGGTTGCGGCAAGATGGAGCAGAAGCAAGACGGGGCGAACGTTGAGCAATGTTAGATCCGACTTTAGTGCCGGTCAAAAGCATTCCCGTCCGGCAGAAATTGGCGCGGGCTCGGGCTCGGGCTCAGGCTCGTGCGCGGCTGCAGGTGAGGCTGTGGGCGCCACGTTGGAGGCTCGGCCGCGCTCAGGCGTGGCTGCCTCGTCTGGCTGGGCAAAAGAGGAGGCGCGCCGGCCGGCTGGGCTCGGCGGCTGGGCTCGGCGGGTGTTGCATTTTTGAGCCGCGTGTTCGGGGCGCCTTCGATCCCGATTGCAAATGCACGCCGTCAATCTTCCACGCTTCCGGCCACCACCACCTTCTTGCTCTTCGCATCTTGGCCCTTCTGCGCCCCTACTCCCAACGTAGTCGCAAGATCGCCATGGCGGACCACGATGGACAAGACGTGCCAGCGTCTTCCAAACCCATCCTCCCTTCCGCAGGCACCAGCCTTGTCGCACATCCTCAAGCCCCTTCACACGAGCAGGACGCCGCGACCACCCCTTCCGAGCCTGCGGTTCCAGAGCAAACAGAGCAGCCAGAACCTTCGCTGCCTACCACCCAAGATGCCAGCAACGCACTCCCTGCCGAGGCTGACCAGGTTTCCTTGACAGACACAACAGAAGCCAACGCGCCCACGACGACAGGCGAGGCCCCCGACATCACAATCTCACAGGCACCACAGGATCCAGTCTCGCAGCCGGCTTCATCAGAAGAAAAGCCAAACGTGCCCGAGTCCCAGCCTGTCGCCGTCGACGCAGTCCAAGACACTAACACCCAGGCGCAAGCCGAGCCGGACTCTACCGCAACACCAGAAGCACCAGCGCCTCCCACCAAGGACTCTTCAACCCAAGATGATGCCAGCCAACCTGTCGTCGAATCCGCACCAGCAAAAACACCAGCGGCCTCTTCCGTCACCGGCCTCAACGACGCCGCAACTCAGCAGACACGCCCGGATGCAACCAGCTCCCGCGCCAGCCTCGCCCATTCGCGCCGCTCATCCTCCGTATCCACAACCGCCACCGCCGCTACCACCGTCCACTCCCGCTCCAGCCTGAAAAGTCTCAACAAGGGCAGCGCCGTCTTTGTCATCTCGGCGCTCGAGTCTCTCGCCAGCTCCAAAGAGGCAAAGAAGGACAAGGAGCTCAAGCAGGCCGCACAGCTCGCTCTCGACATGGTCAAGGCGGCCGCCGCATTCACAGCCTCGGCGCATTCAGCTGACCAAGATCCACCCGTGCTCGATCCGCGCGTCGTCTTCGAGCCTCTCCGCCTCGCATGCAGGACACGCAGCAACAACCTCACCATCACCAGCCTCGACTGCATCAGCAAACTCGTCAGCTACGCCTTCTTCGCAGAGGACGACCCCGTACAGGTCGCAAGCGCCACCATCGCTGCCGGTCAGCCGCCTCAGACCCTCGCCGACCTCGTCACAGAGACCGTCTGCGACTGCTACCACGAGAGCCTCGACGACAAGGTCGGCCTCCAGATCATCAAGGCGCTCCTCGCATCCGTCCTCTCCACCGTCGTCCACGTCCACCAGTCCAGCCTGCTCAAGGCCGTGCGCACCGTCTACAACATCTTCCTCATGAGCAAGTCCCCCGCCAACCAGGCCATCGCTCAGGGCAGTCTCACACAGATGGTCCACCACGTCTTTGCCCGCGTACCTCGAGGCGCACCCTCCGCGTCGGGCGCCATCTCGGCCTCTGACAGCACCACCGACATCACACAGCCACGCCTTAATGGTCGCGACAGCAGCGACACCCATGCAAACGATGCCGCTCAGCCCCAAGACGAAAAGATCACGCTCAAGACCTTTGAGAACCGCAAGTCCTTCGAGGGCGCCTCGGAGCGCGACAACGCAGGCAGCCTCGCCAACATGAGCACCGCCGAGCTCTTTGTCAAGGACGCCTTCCTTGTGCTTCGCGCGCTCTGCAAACTCACCATGAAGCCCTTGGGCACAGAGAGCGAGCGCGACCTCAAGTCCCACGCCATGCGCTCCAAGCTGCTCTCCCTCCACCTCATCCTCACCATCATCCAGTCCCACATGGCCATCTTCACCGATCCCACCGTCATCATCCACAGCACCACCACCGGCGAGCAGACCCAGTTCGTACAGGCCGTCAAGCAGTATCTCTGCCTCAGCCTCAGCCGCAACGCCGTCAGCAGCGTCAACCAGGTCTTCGAGATCAGCTGCGAGATCTTCTGGCTCATCCTCGACGGCATGCGCACCAAGCTCAAAAAGGAGATCGAGGTCCTCCTCAACGAGATCTTCCTCCCCATCCTCGAGATGCGCACATCCACCCCAAAGCAAAAGTCCATCCTGCTCGGCGTCTTCATCCGCCTCTGCCAGGATCCGCAGGCGCTCGTCGAGATCTACCTCAACTACGACTGCGACCGCACCGCGCTCGACAACATCTACGAGCGTCTCATGAACGTCGTCTCCAAGATCTCTCAGGCCCACGTCTCGCCCAACGCCGACGCCAAAGCCGACAAGGACGCCTTGTCCTCGACGGCCGCCGGCTCGGCATTACCAAGGACATCCGGGTCCGGCCCCGCCATTCCACCGTCTCTAAGCACAGCAGCCGCTGGCGACGTCTCTCACGACTCTGTCATGTCAAGCTCTGGTGCCAACCAGTCGGTTGAAGCCAGGCTCAAGCGACAGAGCCTCGACTGCCTCTGCTCCGTGCTGCGCTC